TTTTTTTTTTTTTTTTTTTTTTGAAAATTTATTTAAACAATTAAATTTATTTTATTTTTATGCATATAAATTGTCATTAGTGCTGCCAATGCTGCTGTTACTGCAACTCATGCTGATGCTGATGTTGCTGATGTTGGTGATATGTTTCACTGAGCAGACGATTAGAAAATTAAAATCACCTGCAACCCAGTGAAACATTGTTCCAACAAGGTCAACCGATGTCAATTTTTAAACCTCATTTTTTTAAAACGTCTTCTAATTTTCGTATACATCATGCTTCTCAGAAACTTCGGTTGTCAACCGTTACCGCTACAATAAAAACATCCTTCAATAAAGCAAGAAAAAAAAAACCAAGAATAGAGAAAGAAAAACATTTTCTTTCTTCTTTTCCAATGATTATCTTAACATTTTTCCTCCTTGTCGTCACAGCATTCATAGGCTACCTACCAATTTCCAACCATCATCATCACTATCACCTTTATCGTTCAGCTGCACAGATTTACCTATCAAGTAATTACTTAAGAAAAAAATTGATATTAAGTGTCTATATTCGTACAAATAACGAGTCGAACTGTACAGCCAAATGGTTGTAAATCAGCAGCAATACACAAATACAGATTATAAGATCAGCAGATAACAATAACTGAAAGACGATACCTGTCCAGGTAGGATTGAGCCAGTTTCTGCATAACGATTCAGAATCTTTGACACAGCACCATGTGAAACTCGAAGTTGTCGACTTATGTGACACGGTCTTAAAAAATAAAAAAAGTTTTTCTCCACATCTAACACAGATTTCTACCTTTCTCTTTTTTTTTTTTAAAGTTGTAAATATTAGATTTCGAACAATTACAGCTATTATCACATTTAAAATAAATGAAGTTAAAAAAACCAAATAAATAGAAGGAATATGCAGTTTAGCAATAAAAAATTAAAAATTTTATAAAATCTTTTACTTAATTCCTTTACTGGCCATTTCAATAATTTTCAAACGTATATGCTGCGGTAGCGGGCGACCGTTTATGAACACTCCTCCTAACTGATTTACTCTGCCCTGAAATATGCTACTGATAAACATAGTTTTCAAATTTTTGTAATCCATAGTGAACAGTAGAAAAAAAAATAAAATAAAAAATAAAGGTAAAAAAATTAAAAGTTTTGTTTTTAAAAGCAGGTAAGACACAATACTACTCTTGTAGATCTCCCAATTTGCTCGAATTAAGAATAATAATAGAGGAACGATATAAGACTGATAATCTGTAATCAGAACATTTCTCTGCTTACCAAAAATAAAAAATAAAAAGAAATAAAGTAGTTGAAAGAAATTTCAACGTTTTTAAAACCATTAACATCAACTGTTTTTGAGAAAAAACAAAAAAAACGAAAGCCAGGTAAAAAAGAACTATAAGGACTTTGATGAGAAATTGAAAAGAGGAATTTAGTCAAGAAACATCGACAAAAAAAGTTTCTTTAGTTCATCTTTTAACTGAATCAACAATTTTGTGGAAATGGAGTAATATCCAACTGTTTTCTGTTATGTTCAAACAGCAGTAAGAATTGACAAGCAATTGAAAGAAGACAAGAAGTAAGTATAAAATCAGAAAAAGACTTTAAGTATTTAAAAAGAATTAAAATTTACTACCTGTCCCATAATATTGGTAAAACTAAGTGGCTTAACATCTGCCATAGTCATTCATAAACATTCACCGCATTTACCTATCCAAAAAACTGCAGACAGCCAATATAACTAGCTTCCAGTTAACACCTGAGACCTGTAAACAATTAATGACTACGGAAGACACCCTGACGTGATGCTCCTTACTATCGCCTTATTCCCCTATTCTGTTATAGTGTTGCTGCAGGTTATGCTGATGCTGTTGCCGTTAACGGCTATGCCTTATCGCACCAGAAAAACACCAGCAACACTGCTCACTAATCATCTGTTTCGGTTACGCCCATTTCGCCAAGATGAACTCCGCCTTCTCGGTTACAGTATTCTGATTGCAAAAATGGATATGGAGTGGTGGTAAACCGGCGAAGTTGTTGCACGCTGTTTTTAGGTGTTATAACATTTGACGATGTCTAAAATTTTTGGGACAAAAAAAAAAAAAAGTTTTCTTTTTCTTTGAAGGTGATCCCATTTGATTTACTATATTTTTAGCTTTGTTTAATTCTGACAAAGTGTTTTTTTTTTTGTTCCATCACTTTTTTCTTGCACAAAAATTTCGACTTCAATTAGCGCCTAACTATTTCTTTTGAAAATAAGAAAAAACAAGAAGAAAAAAAATAGTGATCTAATGATTCGTTTTTATTTTTACTTTTTTTTTTCTTTTTTTTTTAAAGCTAGTTCTTAAAGTGTTTAAAATTTGTTGAAAACAAAAAGAATATTAAAGAATTTGCTGCATTATTCGTCGTTGTTGCTCTTGCCGTTGTTATTTTTTCGCCGTTGCTAAAACTTTCAGCTTACCAAGCAGTACCATCAGTATAAAAATGGGTTTATGTTAATATTGTTTCATCTAACGTCTAATCAATTTCGTTAAATTGAAAAGTGAAAATAACGCTATGTTGATGTGTCGCTGTAAACTAAAACGGACCTATTTGATGACGACAGTCATTGGTGGAGCTGATGATACACGTTCAGCAACGTTTTCATCCTTATAGACAATCATGAATCAGATTCTTAGCATAGACAATCAACAAAATTACAGATTTGCTGATGAATGCTAAATAGCTAACAAAGTATCAAATACTTTGTACCTGTGTTCAGTTACTTTTAACACTGGTTTATTCAAAAGTTTATTCAAGAGGAAGAGGTAAAGCGATATTCTTACAACAGAATTGATCAATCAATTGAATCTGTTGTCGACAGTATCTCTCTCCAACACTCAAATTCTTACTTATTAGAAAAGTTTTTAAGGTTTTTAATAGATAAAAATTTGAAATTTTTTGGAAGCAGTGAGTTTTTTGAGAGTAAAATTGAAGTAAACATAATTGTACATACAGATTGCATATATAAAATGATAAATAACAGTCTATGATATAATCCTTATTATTTACAGAAACAAATCTTAAAAAAAGTTTAATGAATAATTTAGCAGAAGAAAAATAAACAGTTGTCGAATTATAGAGAATACCGACAACAGACTAATTTTTACATTACATATATTCTTTTTCTTGTCACTGTTTTTATTATTAATGTTACCCTTTACTTTTATCTAATCAAATTATTTTTACTGAATGAAAAAAATAATCACTTTTTATTTTCACCACAAATTTTCTCGGAAGCATCACAGGTTAAAAAAGTTGTTGTCAAAGAAAAAGTTGTATTTACAGCAAAAAATTACCTCTTCTTTTTTTACAAACATTCCTCAAAATTTTGTCCAAAACAGATAAAAAATAGTAATAAAGCCGAAAATTGTCAACCACTTCGCGGATCATCATACCCGTCATCGTCTTCACCATCATCACCACTATCTCTTCATGTTTTCTAACTTTACCACTAATAATACCACTTGAAAGAGAATGCCGTAAAAAAGGTGAACAAAAAAACTGATTTGATCAACGATAACTAATATCACCAACACTGTTGGTCATTTAATTACACTAATGCGGTATCACTAAACACTGGGAAGTATGCACTAAAACAAAAAAAAAAACTGTTACCAATCAAAAGAAAAAAGAACTCTTGAACAGTGATTTGCGTACAATAAAGAAAGTTTTTTTCCGGTATTCAAGCATTTTTCAACTTTAGTTTACCATTCTCATAACAAAGACGAAGAAGAAAAATGAAACTGTAGTCACTGAACTGACTGTTTAGTTTAATTGGTACTTTCAGTGATACGATTAGGTTAAATAAAAAACTGATAAAGTCATATGTTAAGATAAATATACAAAATAATTAATCGGCAGTAAACATCCGTTTTTTGGCTTCTTTTGTATCAAAAGTTTGAATAGCAGTTAGTTAAAAAAAGTTAAAAAAGAAAAAAGGAGAGAAAAGAAAAAAGAGAAAAAATGAATAATCTTTATCCGTTTCTTTCAAATGGACTTCTAAAGCGGATTACTACGGTTTGTAATATGTTTCCGACAAACTGCTTAACGTATTAACCATCACTTTTTTTTTCACTGATATTTATCTGTCGCTTTCGTACATTTAAAGTTACAAAAGAATCAACTGTATCATTCATTATTTAACTTTTTTTTTTTTCAGAAATAAACTCCAATAAGAAATTTAATATATGTAAATGTAAATGAATAATAAGTCGTTTACGTATTAATTGAGACTGCAGTGTAATTAGAGAGGTAGAATTATTCATAGAATTTCGTATAATAAGTGTTCAGTTCAAAGTATTTTTAGTACCGTAGTGTTGTAGCGTAACATTTTTGCAGTAGACAGATTCTCCAATTAATGGGATGAACCATACGAGGAATTATGAGGTCAGTTGTGAATCTATCTTGCTGCAAGGCTATACATACGTTTCTTGTACTAATTAGTTCACCCGAAAATATCCTCACACATTTTGATGCGTGAAGTAATTGAGTAACAACAACAACAGCAACGACAAAAACAACAGATGAACAACAGAATCGACATAGTTCACACTTTGCACAAATCACTCGTCACCCGCTGTATTACCGCCATTGTTCAGCGGTATAGGTTTTCATTGCGATCTAACCAACTGCAGCCAAACAACGGTTGACGGCGACGATAACGACGATGACAACGAAGACGGCGACTTCGGCAATGAGGGCAACAACGGCGACAACCATAGTTTTGGCAAAATTTTGCCTGTCGCCTCATAGATCAAACTTATTCACTTCATCTAACAGTTCTGATTATTGATTAGTCTTTTCTCCTGTTGTCCGCTCTTACATTCGTTTTTAGCAGCAGGCGAAAATGTGAAGATTTTATAAAAGCATGAGTGTGGCATTTTA